CTTGTAGAAAGCACATACGCTGTGTCTTACCTTAAAATAATGAGAATCTCTTCTGTTATTCCTCTGCTTCCATGTTTCTGGCAAGGCAGGGCCTGATGGTGCCTGGCGCGTGTCCAGCCATGAGCATGCCACTGTGCTGGGGAAGAGCTTCACCTGGGAACCACACACGCCCAATGAACCAGGGGCTGCAAGAGGAACACACAGAGTAACAGCACCCAAATAAAACAGCAGAGATGCAGTCATTGGCCTATCAATACCTGCAATTACAGTTTTCTACCTGCCTCGGCATGAGTGGGTATTTGTGGTGTACCACACATGGCAAAGAAGCAGAAAACTTTGAGGATGTGGAGGGGATGTGGAGGGGATAAAGAACTGCACAGTGGATTTCTACTGCAGCTTGCGAAGGGGCATTCTGACAAGAGAAGCATCAAAATGGTTCTTAACTCCCGTAAGACTTAGTGATCAAGGCTGGTACCCTTGAGTGAAACAACACTGAGAATCAACAAGCAGTGAGATGCCAGATCTGACTGGAAGGGTGAGACCAAGCTGATGAGAGCTTAGAAAAAAAGGAAGTTTTTTTTCATGAACTGGAGGAAGGGAAGCAGTCAGTGACGAAAATAGGAAAGATGGCAAGGGCAGAACAGAGAACTGCACAAATAATCTTAGGAACGGGAGTCTGGGTAGATAAGAGAACCTGATATTACAGGTGTCAGGATGACTGAAGGGAAGTTAATAGCATTTAAGGTGAAAAATATGTTTGGGGCTTGCAGTCCTCACAGGGAGGAAAGGGTAGATCTTGAAATTTCCGTGAAAACCACGCTGCCTGGCTGACAAATGGATTTATGTTTTAGAGGGGAGGGTCAAGTCAAAGCCAGCATGTTTTAGGAATTTGACTGACACAGTACAATAGACATTATAAAATAACTAGTTATTTTGGAGGAATATGAAGAAGGGAAAGATTACCAGTCACTGTGTAATATAAAAAGTGTACCTCTTTTTTGATTTGAGTAAAAGGATTTGCCTGTGTCTCTTCATCTGCAGGCAATTCTTTGTCCCCTGGTAGCAAGGTCTGTGTTATCCGTATTGAGGAAGTTCTTCCACCTTTCACAAGGCAATTTCTTCCTTATTTACATTGTGTTTCAAACTGCATTTTTTATATATATTTGTAAGTAAATATCCTAGATTGTGATTTAGATGTGAAAGCATCTCTGGAACGAGTAGATGGTTTGTCGATTTTCTACATAATCCAATTGTATTTGATATTTAATAAAGTTCTCAATCAAAAAGCTGTCTCCTCCTACTATTTGAAAGTATATTAGAAAAAAAAACAGGATGAAGTTATCTTAGTAACTTAATAATGTTATTATAAGGTTATTCTATTTTAAGTTATCTTAATAACTTACCAAGTTTCGAAGTTTCAGCTTCAGCTGAATAAAACAAATTATTATCGTGTTACAATGACAACCTCACAAAGTCAGCTCCGTTCACCCACTCCTCCCATTGAGATCTGGTTTCTGTATCTCTGAAAGTCCCAAGATATATAAAATATGTCGTAAAGAAGGTAACCACTCCCAAACCTGTGTGGAGTTGCTGTACCAGCCTCTGGTAGCTGGAGAACAGTCCTTTCCCCATCTCACTTACAACTACAGGTATTTTTTGGGTCAAGAACAACACATAAGTCATTCTGGGCCCCGATCTATCACTTTGGGAAATAAACTCCACAGAGCGGTTTGTCCCTGATGATAGCTCAGGTGCTGTCAGGTTTCGACAGAAGAACAACCTGTTTGCTCACTCCAGATTAGCAGAGCTAATCCTGAAATACAGCAATAAAAGAAGATCGGAAATAAAACTCTCTGCCTAATGCAAAAAAAAAAAAAAAAAAAGGGCACCCAGCCATTTGGTTTTCTCTTATGAGATCTGTCACTAAATGTCAGACTGCTGGCACAGATGTAGTTTTATTCGTGCTTTCCAGTTTTCAATCTGAGCAAATATTCCAGTTTTATTTCAGGCTGTGAGTTGCTCTTGAGGAAAAAATGAGAGTTTAATCACTTTCTAGACAATGTTCCTAGGACACCTCCATGTCATGCTCTACAAGTGCCATAGCTCCACTCGGAGCCATGGGTCCGGGTCAGAAACACCAATTTAAGAACACGTTTCCCTCATAATGCATTAGCTTCTATACAGATCAATTAAGACACAGAAGGTTCTCACAGTGAAACTATAAATAGAAGTTCAAGCTATGCAAGAGTCTTTACAAGCTATTTTTATTTAATAAGTAACTATATCCAAAAAATTACCCGTGGACGAGTCAGGAAAACACACAGAAACATAAAAGCAGCTCAACAAATCTGTATTTAATAAATTCATAGCAGATGGCTCATATACCAGGATCACTGTGAATATTTAGAGGCTTTTTATTCACTAGATACACACACTCCAAACACAGTTATAATCTAAAACTGATTGCAAAAACAGAGAAGGGAGGGGAACCTGGATATCTAATCCACCCACCTTACTAGTTTCTGGCAGTCTGGCCTAAAACGTATCCTTCGCCAACCTCCTACTGGCCACTGCATGGCAACTATCGTTTTAGCCTGGTTTTGAAGGCTGCCCTTTTTGAACAAGACACCAATTTTGCTTCCTTTCTGACACATGTTTAGCCACACAAGTTCATCCCTATGTTTGTCCTCAGTATTTCTGCATTTGCCGACGTGAGCTCCCAGTAAATCATGCCAAGTGTGTCTCTGGAAGAGGAAGGAAGTGATTGTGGTAAGGCTATTGGAGGGCCATGCACCAAGCGATATGATCTACACCACCTACGCGAGCGCCACGAGGTAGAACAGGGAGTGCAGGGAGTTGAGCTACTTTCAGACATTAAGTCAGCCAATGTGAATCTCAAGAGAGACACTATTTTGGGTTTGATTTCTAACTCTAATTTTTGTTTCTACATCCCTAATAAAATCAGGCTAACCTAAAAGATTTTTAACTGTCTTAATGCATTC